CCCAACCCAGGTGCCTCCCCCACCAGGTGTGTCCCGCCCGGGTGTGTCCCGCCCAGGTGTAAGTCATGCCCAGGTGTGTTCCGCCCATGTTTGTGTCACGCCCAGGTGTACCCCCCAGCTGTGCGTGTGTGTCCTGCCCAGGGCTGGAGGGCAGTATTTCTGTACTGAAACAAATAGTGAAAACGACATGCTCCTGGGAGAGGCTGGTGGGAGCAGTGTGTCCGGGTGCTGGATGGAGGCCGTGGAGTTTACAGTGCATCAGCTGTTTCAGTAAATCTGGTCCCATCTGATCACTTTACATCATCATTAGCTTTCCAGACACGTCAAAATACAAAGAGACAAGAGCCAGGCTGGATCGAGCCTGTGGGTCCGTGGGAAGACACTCATCAGAGATTTGAGAGCCCTTACTGTAGTCGTAGAAGACGTGAAAAGCGCTATATCAAATGCAAGGATTATTAATATTATTATTATTATTTATTACACTGACACAGACCGAGACTTTGAAATAAGGAAGTCCTTGTTTACTTATTCTTCCATTCTTTTCTCCTCATCCTTTCTTGATCAATACCCACACACTCATCCACCTACGCACACACGCCCACACACTCGCATGCCACCCAATAAAAATAGCAAAATTAATTGATGCAGCGCTGACCAGTTTGGTGGTAATCATAATTAATAAAATCTCTCTTGGGGTTCGTGCCAAGCTGCCCAGGAATCCCAATGCCAACGGTTCTAGTTCCCCTCCAGTAACACAAGCTGCTGTGTGTGAGCGAGATCACCACGAGGTGTCAGCCTCTCAAACTGCCACAAGCATCAGAGCAAGTGGCGAGAGCTTGGCACAGTGATGCTATTAATAATCTTTACATTTACTTATAGCGCCTTTCTCCTTGGGAGGACATGTCAAAGCGCATCGCAAGATATACTGTAAAGTGTAGGGATTGCATTGGTGGGCAGACGAGGTAGCCAATTTGCATATAGCGATGTCAACAACAACAACAACAACAAAATTACATTTAGAGAGCGTTTTCATGTCGGGAGGACGTCCCAAAGTGCTGAAAGCGATGTCCCACAAACGGCGATGATAAAGAATGACTCATTTGATCTGGGGATTGCTTAAAGTCACATCTGACGGACGGCACCTCTGACAATGCAGAACACCCCCAGCGCTGTATAGGAGTGTCAGCTGAGACCGGGTGAGTTCACGTCCTGACGTGGGGGCTTGAACCGACACTCTTTTGACTCAGAGGCGAGAGCGCTATGAACTGAGTCAGGCTGACACGCAATGAGGTTTGATTTACTTTTATTAAATTCTATTGAATAATACCGCCGTTTACTTTTTCGGAGACTTGCTGACAGCACAGGAAACCCCAGTGAGCTCTGTTTGTCAGTTGCCCACCACGTTCCTGACGCAGAGATCTGACACGAGGCAGCATTTGGTGTGACCTGATGTTAACGCGATGCTGTTGCCATGGTAAAGCCAAGTGGCAGTGTTTGTGAACTGTTCGCAGTGAGCGCAATGTCTCTTTATCACATCGATGGAGTGTCCGGGCTATCGTTTAATTTCAAAATTATCATGAAAATAACAACAAGGGCTGTGTAATGGAATATTAATATTAAGCACCTGTTGGAATTTAACCAATCGGGTAATCAATACCTTCCCAATATCACTTTTCCTGACCGGGGTGTGGCTGACCATATCAACCAGTCCGCTCCCTCCGCTCAGCATGCTCCGGTCTACTCCATGTCCTCCGCCCATCCTGCCCACCATCGACGGTCTGGCCTTCAGCCTCTCCTCCCCCACCCTTTGGAACTCTATCCCACGGTCTCTTCGCCTTGCTCCCCTCCCAGGCCTCCTTCAAGACCTGTCTCAATACCCTCCTCTTCGACCGCACCTTCGGTCACCTTCCTACTCCTACTCTCTGCCCTCCATCCATCCTGATGCCAACCACCAGCTCAGGTCCAAATCCCTGACTGTCCAGCGCTTTGGGACGTCCTCCTGAAGTGAAAGGCACTGTGTAAATGTCATTTGTTGTTGTTGTTGTTGTTGTTGGTGCGTGGCTGACCTGGGTGTGGCTCAGCTCACCAGCTCCCTCTCTCTGTCATGATGACAGACTATACAGAGTGACCAAAATGTTGTGATGCCATTATATCTTAAAGGGAGATAATAATAATAGTAACAATAATAATAATAATGAAGATGAAGAAATAAAGCATTGCAACAAATGCCATCACGACTTTTTGGTTGCCTGTATCAACACGGCTGGCAGTGACTGATCAATCTGTTATTTAATCTCTGGATTCCTACAGTATATTATAAACACAACCTTGAGCTTTACAGTGAGCTGAGCACCAGAGCAAACGCTGTAGCCTCCATCACGGTGTGTTGCAGTGTTTAAGTACAAATGTCAATGGCTTCAGGCTGAAAGCCTATTATTAGCACAGAAACTGCTGTCACATGATACACAGCAGTGCTGTAATACAGAGGGGAATGAATCCTCTATTTCGTTACTAAACAGTGTTCTCACTGAGGAACACGCTGAAGAGGTGTGGTTTGAGGGATTTAATTTAAAATCAATACGTTTAACGCCTGTCTTCAGGTTACCATGAGTGTTCTATTTTTTGGTCAGCCGGGTGTCCGACACACACGGAAACCCATCACCGTTGCTTAAGAGTATCCAAACCAAACTGACAATTCCACGCATCCCACCTACACATGGAAATCCCAGAGACAGATTGCTGGAATGGAATGCGCTCTCTCTCCCTGGAGGGATGCTTCCTGCTTACCGAATTCCGAAAGATATTAGGCGCAGGTTGGCAAGAGCCAAGGATTGGGGACCCCGGAGTCTGCATTGGGGTAACATAGCCTGTCATTGCTGTGTGGCAAGCTTTCCCGCTGCTTCTCCAGCGAGGACTACCCTATCCCTCAGGGCTTCGGCTTGCAGAGTTAACAGGAGCTGAGTGGGAAAACTCAAATGACCAACTCGTGACTTTCCTCCTTGGGATGGAAACGCATCGTTTTCACTACAGATACATAGCCCAGACACCTTCCCTCAGACTATTCTTAAGACAGATTCTTACATCTGCCAGAACGTCAGGTGTCTGTGTGTTTAGATGTGGGTCTGTGGCCTGAATGCGCGGGAGAGCCAGGTGTGTAACTGACACACACAACACACACTCAAAACACACACGCCACACAGACAAGCACACACGCAGCACACACACACGCAAACGCCTCCAGCTTCCCTGCTCATTTCTCTCATGTGTGTTAGATAATTTAGCTCTCAACACCTTCTGAACCAAGCGACCCTCAGACATGGTGACTGCACAGTCTGAGACTGACCCCTGATATGGGAGGTTGTCACTGCAATGTCAGGGTTGAATACTGGATCCTGCTAGATTGCTCACTGTCAGATAGATCCCAATGCTCAGGGATCACGGCAGAGCACAGATCACATCCTGTGACCAACTCCTAGTTTCCTTAGTAAGGAATACTGTTGGGAATCTTTGCACATTACCCTCACTCCGGTGGGAATGAACTGAAGTTATTTATTCCAGTTCTGATAAATGGTCATCGACCTGAAACGTTAACCCATTTTCCTCTCTCCATAGATGCTGCCTGACCTGCTGCGGGTTCCCAGCCACTTCTGTTTTTATTTCAGATTTCCAGCACCTGCAGTATTTTGCCTTTTAGTTATTCATTTCATAGTTATTACTTCTGCACCTTAATGGCTCATTTTTTTCTTCAATTATTGTGGCGTTTCGCCCACAAAACACTCAATCACTACACTTTACGGTATATTCTGTGAAGCACTTTGAGACATCTCAAAGACGTGATAAGGTGCTATATCAAATGCGAGGATTGTTATCATAATTATTGCTATTATTTGTAAGAATTTAAACGAGTTCCAGGCCGTGTATTCAGCCTTCTGCTCTGTATAATTTTACAGCACTCTAAGGCAGAGTGATTATCAGAACACAGCTGGAGTAAAGTAAATAAAATCAATAGAATAAATAAATGTACAACCAGTAAAGAGAAATGGCTTAAACCGGCATCGAGTTGCTAACATTGATGCTTCCCCTGTCCTGTGCCAGGCAGAGGCATGGCTCACTCCCCATTACTGACCAGATACTCGGTCAAACAGAGATAGCCTCGCCAGTCAGATAGAAACAGGAATTAGGCAATTCAATCCCTCGAGCCTGTTCCGCCATTCTATAAGATCATGGCTGATCTCTACCTCAACTCCAAATACCGGCCCTTGTACCGTATCCCTTGATACCCTGACCTAACAAATATCTATCCACCTCAGTCTTGTAGATGTGAATGGATCCAGCATTACACCTCTTTTGGGGAGAGAGTTCCAGATAACATAACATACCATGTAGGAGCAGGAGTAGGCCATTCGGCCCTTCGAGCCTGCCCCGCCATTCAATCATGACTGATCTTCTAATCTAACTCCAGCTAATAACCTGACCCTGCCTTATCCCCATATCCCTTAATCCCTTTTGCAATAAGAAATCTATCTATCTCAGTCTTGAATATGTTCAAGGACTGAGCATCAACAGCCCTTTGTGGTAGTGAGTTCCATACAGTCACCACCCTTTGAGTGAAGAAGTTCTTCCTCAACTCAGTGCGAAAGGGCTGCCTCTGATTTTAAGGTTGTGACCCCTGGTTTTAGTTTCTCCAACTGGGGAAACAATCTCCCACTATTTACTCTCTCATGCCCTTTGATGATCTTATAGGTTTCTATAAGATCCCCTCTAATTCTTCTATATTCTAGAGAATATAGGCCCAAATTGGTCAGCCTCTCCTCGTAACTCATCCCCTTCATCCCCGGTACTAACCTAGTAAATCTATGCTGCACCCCCTCCAAGGCAAGTACATCCTTCCTTAAATAAGGAGACCAAAACTGGACACAGTATTCCAGGTGTGGTTTGGGAACCAATGTCAGAAAGTAACAACTCAAACAAACTTCGAGTGCAGAAAGCGTCACTCTTACCTCGAGCCCAGCATCAGTGATGGTTGATCGTTTCAGGCTGACCGAGCGAACGCCTTTCTTGGACAGGGGGTAATTGTCAATAAACTCACAAATGTCCAGGTCAGAGACTCCGATCAGGCAGAAGGAATCAAAGCCACGAGAGGCAAAGCCTTGCAGGTTGACAAACTCCTTGTCCCCGTTAAGAAGTACATTGTACAGCTCCTTGGCGTGAAGAATGGGGGTGACGCCCTGCCAGAACTTGCCCTGGTAAAGGACCTTCCTCCACACCTTACACACCTGCACCAGCACACACCTCTCACAGCAGGAAAAGTACCAGAACAGCCTGTTGAGAATCTTCTCGTCCAAAATAGACACTTGTCCTTCCATTGAAGAGCTGGAGAGCTTCCTTTTGGAGCCCGATGGCTGGCATGTACTTGGGGAGATCTCCTCAGCACTGGGTTCTTCCAGGGGGATCTTGGTGTCAGTCCCTCCGCACAGAGAGGCTGGGGCCACCTGTGCCGCTTGTGCCAGCTCACTGTGGTTGGGGGGTGATATCGGCAGTGTGGAGGGGATGGAGGAGGACTGGCACAGTCGGTTTTTCGCGGCGGGGGTTCCTTTGGTAATGCTGGCTGACCCTAGGCCATTGGGCTGTGCGGGGAGCTTGACCAGGCCGTTGCGAGGCATGCAGGGAGGCTTGGGGTCACTGCTGCTGTTTGTAGACATTTCTCAGATTCGCTGCAGACAAACCAAGATCACAGGTCAGTGACGCAGAACGCTGACAACAACAACAAGATGCATTTACACAGTGCCTTTCACGCCGGGAGGACGTCTCAAAGCGCTTCACACAACTAATGGTGGTGGGGGAAGGAGCTGAGACGGAGGTGGGGAGAAGGTAACCTAAAGCACAGGTGAAAAAGTGTTAAGGTTGGCTATAAAGGTGGGGAGGTAGTGAGCGAGGCAGAGGGTCTCTGGCACCTGTTCCACAGAATGGCTAAATCATAGTTAGCAGCATGTACTACACAGTATCTCACACCAGACATAAACACAGTCTATCAGACTTTCCCCTCAGCACCCACTGAAACCCTCAACCAGTTCCCATCATCACCACCTTTTGGCCTATTTGATCTCATTATTCCAGAACACCCTCAGCATTGTTTGTCCATTGCCCATTACCAAAGAACTTTCTTAGATGAATCCAGTTAATTCACTAACATGCTTTTACTATACACTGTGTTCAACCAGCATGCTCCCCCTGAGAATGGGAAAAGCTTTCAGAAGAAGAAATGAGGAAATCTACAGTGTAGAAGGAGGCCATTTGCCCAATCGATCCTGGGCTGGCTCCCAGAGCAAGGAGATCTCTTCAATCCCACTGCCCTACTTTAGCCCCAAACCCCTTCAAATCCCTCTTTCATATGCCTGTCTACTTCCCTCTTGAAAGCTACAGTGGATATAAAAAATACCCCTACTAGACAGCACATTCTACACCCCAACTACTGTCTGGCTGAAAGCATTCCTCCTAAATTCTACTTTCACTGTTCTTGTGAAAGGTCTCAGTCTTGTCGACATTCAACTTAACCCTATGCCTGGGGATGATATCCCTGAGCAGGAGCATGTAGATATATAGGAGAGGATCAAGGACAGAGCTGTCGGGAACGCCACATGTGGCGGAGCAAGCGCTGGAGCAGAAGCTGTTAGTGGATACAAAGTGGAGATGATGGGAAAGGTAAGAGTGAAACCTGAAAAGAACAGGACAGTGAAGGTGGAGCTGAGAGGAGAGGCGGTGGAGAGGAATAGAGTGGTCAACATCTGCAGAACCATTCAGGTAAACTTCCTCTGCTCCCTCGCAAACATCTCTCTTGAAGTGAGGTCCCCACAATCAGTTACCCCAGTTGCGATACTCCAGCTGCAGCCTGGCCAATGATTGATACAAACTTAGCATAATTCTTCCCTTTTATCCTCTGTGTCGCTGTGTACAAAGCCAGCTTACTGTGAGCCTTCTTCACAGCCCGTCACTGAGTGACCTGTGGGTCTGCCACCTCCAGCCCCTCCAGTCCCCCACCCCGACCCCTCCGTCCCCCGACCCGACCCTTCCAGCCTCCCCCCCGACCCCTCCAGACTCCGCCCTGACCCCTCCAGACTCCGCCCTGACCCCTCCAGACCCCGCCTTGACCACTCCAGACCCCGCCCTGACCCCTCCTGATCTCCAAAGCTATTTGGAAAGTGTTGGGCAGAGCCTTCACTCTATCCTCTCTGGTTCCCTGCAAGGGGTTGCATGGTCGAAGAGGAGGGTCTTGAGGCGGGACTTGAAGGAGGCTAAGGAGGTTTCCTTTCTGATCTTTATCCCCCATGGCTGTTCCTCATTCCCCATTGTACATTCTTTCCTGGGAATCTCTCTCTCAGTGAAAACACAGGCCCAAAATATTATATAATAGCTCTGCCATCCCCTCCTTCTCCACCACCAAATCACCCGCTCATCCCTAAACTCTCTCTTGAGCTAATTTTCTGTTTCCAATATATATTATAAATACCGTTACTGTACTGTAAGCCCCACACTGACACCCCTCCCCCCCACACACAGCCCGCTCACACACACACCTTGTTCGCTTGCACACACCGCTAATGCACACACACCACTCGCGTGCACAAACACCACTCCCACACACACACACACACCTTGTTGTTTGCACACACCGCTAATGCACACACACCACTCGCACGCACACACACCATTCCCACTCACACACACATCTACACACACAACTCTCACACAGCTGCCACGCATAAAACACACATATATCGCATCTACACACACACACACACACAAACACCACTCCCACACACACACACCACACAAGCACACAGAATATATACACACAGAAAACAAACACACAGAACATAAACATACAGAACACAAACAAACACACAGAGCAAATGCACACAGAAAACAAACACACAGAACACAAACAAACGCAGATCACATACACACCTCCACACACACTCACATTACTTGCACATACCTTTGATGTCTTTCTGTCCCCCGTTAGTCACACAGCCTGACATGCTCTCTCTCTCTCTAACACAGTCTCTCTGTTGTGTATACACCACCTTCTCCTTTACAAACCCCATTTCCTCACTAACAAAAGGGCACTATTCTTCTGTCACCTCTCTGCCTCACCCTCTGTCTCTGTGGTTGAATGTCTCTCCATGCCTGAGTGTCTCTCCTCACTAACATAGTTCCCGCTCAGCATTGCCCTGCAGCTGCTCTCAGTGATACAGCTCAGGATTTACTGTCTTTTTCACTCCCCAGAATCGGAGCATAGGGCTGCCTGGCAGGGCACCAGAGCAACGTGAGGAGAGCATCACTGAGCCCCAACCCCTGTCACAGTGAGGGGCAACGAGTAGACGCTTGCACTGAAGGGACAGTGACATGTGTAACAGCAGCTTCCTGCAGTGAAACAGTCCTCATTGAGAAAGTGGGTGTGGTTGTTCCCGGGTTGTGTGTATGTGTGTGTGGGGGGGGGGTGAGCACTAACCCCTCCCCAGCGTAGCTGTGTGTGTATGTGTGTGGGATGGAGGAGGTCTGTGGATGGGCGCGTGTGTGTGTGTGTAAAGAGGATGCGAACACTACCTCCCCCCCAGCAGCAGCAACAACTTGCATTTACATAGTGCCCCTCAAGCAGAGCACTGTCCCAGGACCGGGTTTACCCCCCACCACCCAGTGCCGTCTTAGATAGCTGTAACCCAGTTTGCCAGACAGTCAGTAAACGCTGTACATTCGGAAGGACAAGTGTCCCCTCAGCACAGCGACCAATTCTTCCTGAAGACAACAGGTGGACAGAGGGGAATCCTTCATTGGAAAAAGTCATCACAAAAAAAGCAAACCAGACACAGAAACTCCTGTAGCTCCAATATCACAATTGTAAAGTGGCTGAGGTATTCTAGAACCAATTTCTGATTTTGATTAAATAAACAGGGAAACCTGACCGAGACCAAACCAAACTGACGTTGCTGTCTGGGAATACAGATCATAACAATAATAATAATGATAATCATAATACTTGCATTTGATGTAGCGCCTTATCCTGCCTTAGAGGCATCTCAAAGGGCTTCGCAGGATATACTGGAAAGTGAAGTGACTGTATATTTTTTGTTATATGGTGTATTTTTAGTATTCTTAAAGCTTTACGTCTCACAACTTGTTTTAATTTTAAAGGTACAACAACAACAACAGCCGCTGCTGGTATTTAGCAAACGGCTTGCAGTGACGTGGCCCCAGCCGGAAAGCACAACAACAACAACTTCAACTGTAAACACCCCCAAGGTCCCGGCGGAGAGGTGGCATTTGCTCTTTTCTAATAAAAAAAGGTTGTGTTTGTCAACCTGGGCGTGGCTAGGTCACTGCTAAGAATAATCATTTTTGCACTTAATACAGTTTTCGGCACAGTCCTGAAACATCTGAAAGCCCCCACAGACCTGTCTGTGCAGTTTAGTGTCTGTGCTGTAGGTCAATGCAGTGGACAGCGTACACACAGCCAGCCAGGCAGTCAGCGACCAGGGGTTTACTGTGCGGGGTATGTGAGCCGGCACACAGAGCACCCGACACCCAGACCCTTACCCACACACTCCCCGGCCAGGCATCCTTATAACAACAACAACAACAAGATTCCATTTATAAAGCGCCTTTCACGTCAGGAGGACATCCCAAGGCGCTGCAGAGTTGGGTCATGACCCGAGCAGGGGGGAAATGGTCAGGGTGAGGGGAGGGAAGGGAGGGAGCGAGGAGGGGGAAATGGTCAGGGTGAGGGGAGGGAAGAGAGGGAGCGAGGAGGGGGGAAATGGTCAGGGTGAGGGAAGGGAGGGAGCGAGGAGGGGGAAGAGAGTCGAGAGGGGACTCACTTGTTCTACTTCTCTGCTGTTTATTAGAAAGATTTTTTGTGTGGGGGGGGAGGGTGCAGCCGGGTGTCTGACACGTGCAGAAACTCATCACCGTGCTTAAGAGTATCCAAACCAAGCTGAGACTTCCACGCATCCCATCTACATGTGGGAAATCCCACAGGTAGATTGTTGGGATGGAATGGGTACTTTCTCAATGAGAGAAAAAGGGAGAAACACCTTCAGGAATAAACGCCTTCAGCAGAATACCAGGTTGTCTTCTCAGCGATTACAGACAGAGCTTAAATTCGATTGACACAATGTTTATTGCAGATGACTGACAGGAGATACAGGTGTGTCACACACACACACAGTATCCCTCCCCCCCCCCCCACACACACACAGTATTCCCTCCCCCACACACACAGTATCCCCCCCCCCCCACACACACACACCACAGTATCCCCCCCCACACACACACTCACAGTATTCCCCCCCCCACACACACAGTATCCCCCCCCCCACACACACAGTATCCCCCCCCACACACACAGTATCCCCCCCCACACACACACACACACAGTATCCCCCCCCACACACCCCCCCGGCCCCCGGCCCCGGCCCCGGCCCACAGCCCACAGCCCACACCCCCAGCCCCGGCCCCCAGCCCACAGCCCCGGCCCACAGCCACAGCCCCGGCCCCCAGCCCCCCAGCCCCGGCCCCCAGCCCACCCAGCCCCCAGCCCACACAGCCCCAGCCCACAGCCCACACAGCCCACACAGCCCCCGGCCCCCAGCCCACCCAGCCCCAGCCCACCCAGCCCCCAGCCACCCAGCCCCCCAGCCCACCCAGCCCCCCA